TAGGATGCAATCAGCCTGCCGATGATGCTAAACAAATAAGAGAACAGGTAACGTAGGTAATCTGTGAGAACTCTCACACAACTATCTGCACCTTCAATTCGTTTGATCACAGGGTAGAACCACCTGAAGACACAATGTCATTCTTTTTTTTTTGAGTGAAAATAGGGATTTCCCTATCAATAATATTACTGAAGCCAAGGTGGGATGGAAGAAAAATGATATCTACTACTCATTTCCAGGCTGCTGCCTCCGAGGTGGAGAACAAGGCCAAATCAGTAAGTGGCATGTCAAGGAGAGATTTACAAATTCAACTCAGAAATGTACAGTATAGTCACTCTAAAACAAAAGCAGTGGCGGATCTAGAGCCTTTTTAGTGGTGGTTCAAAATATGTGTTAATTTTTTTGTTCGAACGATATCCCTTTGATGCAATGATACTATAAAAACGTCCTTGTAAAGTTACATAAAGTAAATCTATTACACATACAATTAATGAATGTATAAATTTTCATCCTAAGTAAACTAACTAAATCATTTGACATTAGCATACAAGCTTGGTTTATCTGTGCTTATACTATTTTCTTTGACTTAGGATGAAAAATGAGAGAGTAGTGTCACAGGGAACTCACAAGATTGGTTTATCTGTGCCTATTCTGAATATATATTTGCAAAATAAAGATAGGTTTATCTTGTGAGTTCCCTGTGACATCCATGGCAACTGACACTCCATCATCTTTTGGCAAGATTAATGCAGGAGGGCCTGAGCTAGACACAGGAACTGGTGGAAGAGCCTTTGGTTTAGGTGTTCTCGACTTTTCCCTAGAGCCCTGGCCGCTGAAACTGACACTCATATTTCTCCATTTGTCCTGAAAGTCAAAGAAAATAGTATAAGCACAGATAAACCAGAAACTCCTGCAGAATAAAGATAGGTCCATCATATTACCGCCACTGTTCAGCCAACATAAGCAACTGCCAGTAGCGGACCTATTCATTTAGCAAAATTTCAGGTGGTTCAAGTGAACCACTTTGAACATGAATAGGTCCGCCACTGTCCAAAACCACTCATAATACAAATATACATTAAAAGTATAGGTCTCATCAAAACATCATCAATATCACAGAAATATTAAGCAGAAACAGATGAGAACAAATTAAATTGTCTAAGTATGATATCCACTAAATAGATAACTTCAATATTTGAGAAGAAATACAAGCATTTTGTCAGACACAACCATTAAATCTGGATAATGTATCTTATGGACAATAAAGAAGTAGCTACTGAATCAAAATACTAATCACCTATCATTATTTATAGCAGTTTTTGCCTTTAGACCCAAGGATTTACCTGATTTACTTTTAAACCCAAGTTATTTTATTTGTGTCAATAAACCCAAATAACTTTGTGTATTTATTTTTAAACTCATCCTCCCAAATATACTACATAACTATGTCGCCCGCTCTAAAAAATTTGTATACCATTTTACCCCTTTCTCTCCCTCCATTTTCTATCCCTTTCATCTAAATTTTTTGAGCTTGTAAAAAACGACCTTAACTTTTTTAATTACAAAAAAACACCTAAAAATATAAAACTTTTATAAAAGCATTCCAAAAAATTTAAAATACCAAAAATACACTGTAAATTTAGGAATTATAAAAAGTCTATAAGAAATTTAGAATTTGCAAAAAGCATCCTAAAAATTTTAAATTTTGGAAAAAACCCTCAAAAATAAAAAATACCTTAAAAATATCAAAATTTAGCAAAAAACACCTAAAAATTCAAACCTACTAACAATATTACCAAAAATCTATTGTGAGCAGCACCTTAAAATTTATAATGTGCAAAAAAGACCCTATAAGTTTCACCTATTGCAAAAAATCCCAAATAGTATACATCCTTGTGTTTTTTTATATTTAGACCTTTGGGTTTTTTTAATTATTTTTTTGGGATCTTTTTGCAAGCGTTGAAACTTTTAGGTTATTTTCTGTAGATTACAAAATTTTGTGGTGCTGCTCATAATAGATTTTTGATATATACTGTTTGTAGGTTTGAAATTTTAGTGTTTTTTCCTAAATTTTTACATTTAAGGGGTTTTTTAATAAATTTTTTATTTTTGAGGATTTTTTGAAAATTTTGAAAATTTTAGGATATTTTTTACAAATTGTAAAATTTTAGGGGCTCTTTATAATTCCTAGATTTTTGGTGTAGTTTTTGTATTTTAAAATTTTAGCAATATTTTTATGTATTTTAAAAATTTATGTGTTTTTTTTGCAATTAAACAAGTTAAGTGTGTTTTTATAATCTACTTGGCTTACCACAAACGGATTATAAATAAGTGGATTATGAGCCAAAGTGTTTGATAAATTTGGTGAACTATAATCCATTTTTAATAGTAGAGTGTTTGGCAAATGAGTGGTTTATAACCTATCATTATTGTCAAAATGACCAAAAAAGCATTTAATGGGGGTGGAGAGAGATAAATAGGGTTTAGAACTTTGTGAAATGTGAGGGTCATATTGGACTTTTACTCAGTTAAACCTTATAGCTTATAAGCCAAAAAAAAAGTAGGTTACCCTGCTCATTTCAATGGCTTGTAAGTCAGCATAAGTCATTGCCAAACATGTCAAAAAATGTCTTATAAGTCACAAAAGTAACCTATAAGCTAATTTGACCACTTGTCAAACATGCTTTTAGTTGCGCTTTTAGTTGCATAGGATTCTCAAAATTTTAAATTTTAGACCTAAACACAATTTTTCTTGGGGGGTTGGCGGGGCGAGGCGGTTGCAATCATTAAGAAGTTGCTAACATCTCACCTCCATTATTGTGATCCTATAGAAGTAAATGAAACGACTAATAAGCAATTATTTTAAGCCAAGTGTTTCCATAGAAATAATTTCTCTTGTAGCAATCGTACAAAGCGTGTCGGAATGGGGTTGGAGTATAGTTGGTACTTTGGTAATTTACTTTATTTAGAGGCCGAAATTACTCATTTGTTCTCCTCCTCTCCGAACCAGCGCCCCCACACCCCCCGCCAAAAAAAATATATTTTTTTTATAATAATAAAAAAAAGACGGAGACGATCATCGTCGGCATCCTCATCCTTCTTGACGTATTTCAGTCCTCATTATCACAGTGTCCTGTCTTCGTCGTCGTCCTCATGATCGGCATCACTGTGCTCGCACAAAGCATCGGTTGGGGTTTTCTGGTGGGTGATTCCAGTTGATCGGAATGGCAAATTGCGCACTAGAGCTGTACAATGTGGGAGAGCGGAAGATGCTAGGTGAAAATATCTGTTTTGCTCTTTTAATAAAAAATAAAATAAAAACTATTTATCACAGCATCGAAACAGGGCTCATATTTGAATGGTAGAGAGATCATATTGTCATTCAGAATCGTCTGACAATATTCAGAATCGTCCTAACCACAACTAGTATTATGCCTTTCAAAATTGCATTCCATGTTATTTCTTATTTTAAGAAAAAGGGATTAGTTGGTAGATATGATTATTACTGAAAATATAGTTCCTCTAGTTCTCAAATAAAAATTAAAGCCAAATAAACTGCACGTCTTTGTTGTGACTATAAATATATAACATCATGCCTTTTAAGATTGCATCCATTTTTATTTATTATTCTATACAAATTTGATTAGATGATTATAGTCAACAAACTGCGCATCTTACCTTTATCATGTTATGACGTGAAGAAGGAAACTAAGAAACCAACCCTGCAGTACGTCCTTAAAAAAAAATGAAAAACTAGAAAAAAGAGATTCAACGAGAAGCACATCCTTACCTATATATCCATTTCTAACCAGCAACATCATTTTCATCTCAAAATTAAAATGAGAGGAAGATGGGAGAGAACTCAGCTGAAAACCAATGGGTCATCGACCTTGAAGAGCTTCAAAGTATCAACTCTGAGACCGAGATAGAGAAACGAAAGAAGCATTGCATCTACAGGGTGCTGAACATCATGAGAGAGCTCAACGACAAGGCCTACACACCCCAGCTCGTCTCTTTGGGGCCTTACCACTAAGACAAGGCCCACCTCAAGCCCATGGAGCGCAACAAGCACGCGGCTCTCGCCCACTACCTTGAGCGGGCCAAGCAAGGCCCACCTCAAGCCCATGGAGCGCAACAAGCACGCGGCTCTCGCCCACTACCTTGAGCGGGCCAATAAGACTCTCGACGAGGTGAGGGAGGCCCAACAAGCACGCGGCTCTCGCCCACTACCTTGAGCGGGCCAATAAGACTCTCGACGAGGTGAGGGAGGCCCAGAGGCCTCAAATCCGAGAGCTCATGGACGCGTACGATAGCCTAGAGGAGTCGTGGACGGACGAGGACTGGTTTTTGGATCAAATGATCGTTGATGGATGTTTCTTTGTTGAAATGATGGTGTGGGGAAATGACGAGCTCTAGAGGCGGTACATGAATCGTGGCCTGTGGATGGACATGCGCAGGATTGAAAATCAGTTGCCGCTCCTGCTTCTTGTTATCTTGATTGAAATTGGAGGTCACGAGGTAACCTAGTCACTACCTGCAAACTGGTATTTGTTATTTTTCGCGACTTTGACTATTGATTCAGTTGATATATGTTTAGTCCTTGGGACTGATTTTCTCAATGACTTGTAATGGTTGTTATTTTCTGTAAGAAGTCAAAAACATAATTCAATGAATTGCACTGATTTTTTAGAATATGAAATAAAAATGAAAGCATGACGTTGTAGTAGGGTTGGACCTTTACTTGGTGCTAAGAGCTAAAAAATGATTGATTAGCAGGTTGAGGATTCCAAGAGCTTCATAAGAAATTGTGACGAAGTCCCCGACACCGAACTGAAAACCATTAGAGGAAAAGGTCGGCACTTGCTCGACATTTCAAAAAGGAAAATGACTGCGGGAGGAAACTACATCCATGACCGCGACTTGGCTGTCCGCACCGCAACAGAGCTCTTCCAAGTGGGGGTGAGCTTCAAGCTAGCTGATAGCATCTGTTACAGCGACATCAGCTTAACAAACGGAGTCCTGAAGCTCTCTCATCTATACTGCTACAGTAACACCGAGAACATGTTCCTCAATTACACTGCCTACGAGCATATACATAAAGGTACGGATAGTGCAGTGAGTAACTATGTCTTATTTATGGATAATATCATCGACACAGATAAAGATGTGACGCTGCTCAGGAAGGCAAAGGTAGTGTCTTGCACGACTGGAAGTGATAGCGAAATTGCTTCCCTCTTCAATCGTCTCACCCAGGGATTGCCTCTCTTGGATAAGATCCATGTCCAAAGTGAGAATGTGAATATGAATATTGAAAATTACTGCAATAGGAGGTGGCATAAGTGGCGTGCAATTTTCATCCAGACTTACCTTAGCAATCCTTGGGTTTTCATCTCGCTTTTGGCAGCATTTGTCCTCTTGGTTCTGACCGTTATCCAAACAACATACACAATCATGCATTTCTATAAAAGCTCTTGATCTAGAAGGATCTTGTAGGATTCTGGATATATGGATGTACAAGTTGTAACATTTATGATCGCTTAACAAACAATTATAATTTGTTTTGAATTTAAATGGGAAATCAGTACCATTCCTGAATGATATGATGGTAGTTATATTAGAAATAAATCATGATCATTTGTATGTAATCGTGAATAATTATACATGATTGAAAATGTGTCTTTTTCGGGAAATCATGATAGAACTCAAACAAATGGGATTAGGTCCCCATTAGTCAATGTGCTATCCACTTTACTCGCACCTCTAGCTAGGTGAAAGAAGAAAATACAAGTGAAATTAAACCGGGGAAAGCCCAAAGTAAAATACTTAAGTGAGAGAGAAAAATTGTTAATTTTCCTTTCCACGTCTACTCACAATCTATTTTTTAAGAGTTAGCAGAAAATGAAAAGGGTTTGGATCTTTATGCTTTCTAAAAGTAGCAGAAAGATCAATTTTTAAATCACAATTTTTGATTACGATATGGGAGAGAGAATGTGATCAATTTATTCATTACCAAGGTGATGCATATGCGACATTGTGGATGATCCGTTCCGTTGAACTTGATCTACATATTCTAAAACCCCAACACACCAAGTTTGTGGTGAATTCGTCATCGTTTGACCCTCCATCGAGACATGTGAAAAGTTCTATTCATTCAAAACCGTTAAAATTGATACGAGTGGATGAAGGGTCAAACGACGATGAGTTCACCCCAAACTTGGTGTGTTGGGGTTTTAGAATATGTAGATCAAGTTCAACGGAGCGGATCATCCTCAATGTCACTCAATCATGTGATTTTAGAGGCGTCAATGAGGAAATCCTCTCCTATGACAAGGATACCCATTAATCTCTCTCTCTCTCTCTCTCTCTCTCTCTCTATATATATATATATATATATATATATATATATATATATATATATATATATATATATAATATATATATAATATATATATATCTATATATATATAAATATATAGATTATTATATATATATATAGTATATTATATATAATATATATATGATTTATCGGAGAGAGAGAGAGAGAGAGAGGCTGTTGTAGGAATTGGCAGAAAAATCAGTTTATGGCAGCATAGGAGTAATTTTGGGAGCTTGGCGTCCGGACCGCGGGTCTATGACGGTGCAACCGTGGATTCTTGCACGCCTCACTGTCCTTTTGCATCTTTGGGCGTCGACCGTGACGGTCGGATCGCGCTTTGGCTTCAGAAAGCTGGAAAAGTTCTGGCTGTTGTGGCGGTCGAACCCGTGGCGGTCGACCATCGGCGTTCGACTGCGCTCGAGTCCAGAGACTTGGGGAGTCTCTAGGTTGGTGCGCGGTCGACAGTGGCGGTCGACCCGACGATACCCGTACGTGGTGGACCGTCACTGCGACGCTGAACAGCGGTTATTGGGTAGGGCTTGGTTTCCAGACCCATTTCGTTTGGGAGTTGTATATATACTCTTAACTCATTTTTAGGGCTCAATGGAGAGGATTTTGAGCTGAAGAAAGAGGAGATTTGGGGCTTCTATTGTTGGAGCCATTTGGAGAGATTAAGAGGGCTTATTTGTGAGTTCGTGGTAAGGTTTGTAACCCTAATTGTATTCCCATTGATTTCTAATAGTAAAACTCACCCTCCTTGCCCCGTGAACTTAGGCAATTTGCCGAAATACGTATATTTTATGTTCTTGCTGTGATTGGGGTTGCTTGTGCTATTGGGATCTATTTATTTGTTCTTGTGTGTGCTATTGACTTGTCGAATAGGCTTCCGCCATGCACAACAAGTGGTATCAGATCTCCGGGTTGGATTTGGGAGTTTGTTCGAAGGATTCGCTATTGGATTCTTGTTTGGAGAGGTAGATCTACAATATGGGTGAAACAAGCACATCGGGGTCGTCTTTGACGAAGGCGATTCAAAGCTTGAGCATCAATAAAAAAAAATTAATGTTCTGAAGTTCGACAGCAAGATCAATTTCGATTTGTGGAGGTGTTAAGTAATGAACGCCTTGGATGCACAAAATTTGGAGGAAACTCTTAAGCTACAAGAGAAACCCGAAGATGTGGAGGATAAGGTTTGTAAGAAAATGAATAGTAAGGCTTATGGGGTTATTCGGTCATGCTTGACGTCGGATCTCATTTATGATGAGATGAACGAGACGTCGACGAAGAGATTGTGGGAAACGCTCAATGAAAAATATTTGACGAAGAACATTGAGAATCGGCTTTACTTGAAGAAGAGATTCTACCAATTCAAGATGAAGAGGGGAGTTTTCATTCGAGAGCATGTTAACAACTTCACAAAGCTAATTTCAGATATGACCAATGTGGATATTATGGTTGAGGATGAAGACAAGGCAATATTACTATTGTGTTCGATGTCGGAGGATGATTTTGGTACATTTGTTCTCACTATGATAAATGAACGAACTACAGTTAGCTACAAGGAGGTGACCTCGGCTTTAGTGAATTATGAGCTGAGGAAGAATGATGGTGAGCCCTCCGAAAAAGCATCGGGGGATGCATTAGCAGTTCGTGGCCGTAGTCTAAACCGTCAAAGGTTCAACCGCTCAAAATCTAAGACTAGGGGTGGTCATAAGAGTGTTGATAGAAATTAATGTGCCTTTTGTAAAGAAGAGAGACATTAGAAGAATGAGTGCCCAAAGTTAAAGGATAGATCCGGGAAGCAAAGGGGGAAAGTTGTACAAGCTTCAGAGGTGAATGTTGCTAAAGTTTTTAGTGACACTTCAGACTCGGATTCTTCCGGTTATTCTTGTCCCGCACCACCGTCAGTTTGCTATGCCGACTCTACGGAGTGGATGTTGGATTCGGAAGATACATTTCACATTTGCCCTAAGAGGGATTGGTTTACCAACTTTGAGGAGTTGGAAAGAGGGGACATGGTGCTCATGGGGAACGATCACGTTTGTCCTATCAATAGGATTGGCTCAGTCCGGATCAGAATGCATGACGGGGTGATTAGGGAGTTGAAAGAAGTGAGGTTTGTACCGTAGTTGACAAAGAACATTATTTCTCTTGAGACTTTGGAGGTAGCTGGTTATAGAGTGATATTAGAGGATGCTACATTGAAGGTCATAAAGAGGTCCATGATGGTGATGCGAGGTGTCAGGGAAAACAACCTATACTACTTAAAGGTAAGATAGTTACAGGGAGTCTGGCTGCTTCTATCACCACAGAGGAGGATACTACCACCCTATGGCACATGAGACTTGGACACACAGGTGATAAGTCCCTACAGTCATTGGCAAAACAAGGGCTATTGAAAAGTGCAAAGACCTGTAAGATGGAGTTGTGAGAGCATTGCATACTTGAGAAGATGACTAAAGTGAAGTTCGACACCGCTATTCATAATACCCAAGGTATATTGGATTACATTCACAAAGATGTTTAGGATCCTTCCAAACACACATCGCTTGGTGGGGCAAATTATTTTGTCACTTTCATTAATGATTATTCCAGGAGGGATTGAGTATATACAATGAAGCATAAACATGAGGTCCTAGATATATTTGTGGAGTGGAAGAAGAAAGTAGAGCTGCAGACAGGTGGAAAGGTGAAGAATCTTTGTTCAAACAATGGTGGAGAGTATAAGAGTGATCTATTTCTATAGTTTTTTCGGGATCACGGTATTAGAAGAAACTTCATAGTTAGAGAGACATCGCAACAGAATGGGGTAGCTGAGAGATTGAACCGTACCTTGCTGCAGAAGGTGCGATGTATGATGACGCAAAGTGGATTGCCTAGATCCTTTTAGGCTGAGGCGTTGGTTTATGCGAGCCATCTCGTTAATAGGTTGTCGTGCACTACGATATAGGAGAAGACTCCAATGGAGCGTTGATCTGGTTCCATGGCTAGTGACTATGAGACGCTTCGGATATTTGGGTGTCCAGTTTATTTCCATGTTAGTGATGGAAAGTTGAATCCGAGAGTGAAGAAGGACGTCTTTATGGGATTTAGAGAAGGTATCAAAGGCTTCAAATTATGGGATCCACAAGACAAGAAGATGGTCATTGTTCGCGGGAAAAATTGTGTTCTTCATTGATGATTCCATTGATTACTTTGTTAACAGTTTATCGGTTACAAAGATCCGGTCTTTTTATAAGATCCGGTTACAACAAAATCAAAAGAAAATGAAAATTACAACTTTCCTTATTTGTCGAACAAATCGCGAGATCTTGTTTTGCGGTCTCTCGCTTTTGTGGGTTCTTCGCCTGCGCCGAGGTTAATCCGTGGACCACCGCGCGATCTTGATCCGGTCAGATCTACACGGTATAGCGGGTGTTATCTCACGAAGGAAATAACAGCCGGGGGTACTATTTCACCAAGGAAATAATAGCCTTCTCGGGATCAAAAACCAAGTTTTGATCTGGAGTATTACCGTGTGGATCTCAGATCTGATCTCTATCTCTCGAACTCCTGCCTTTTCTGACGTGGATGCTCGCCAAGAACCAGATCCGAAAATGTCCAAGTCTTCAAAGCTTCAAAAACTCCAAGATTCAGTCCTCAATCCGGCAGAGTTTCGGCTCCAAAAGTTCCAAATCTGGGCCCAGATCTGGGCCCAGATCTGAGTGTGGCTCGGCCACCGAGCCACCCACCTTGGGGTGGCTCGGCCACCGAGCCACCCTTGGGTGGCTTGGTTTTGGCCGGGTGTTTGCCGTTGTGTCCGTTGTCCGGTTTCGCGGTTTATCGAATTATCCGAGCTTCACCATGCTGAGCTGTGCTAAGGGACCCATAGGCAGTTTTATACGCCTACAGATACCCCCTCCAAAGTATTTCAGCCTCGTTCTTTTATAGAAGAGTCTGGAATACTTTGGATATGATTGTCCCAACCTTCAGTCGGTGTAACGGGACCTTGGAATGGCTTCTGTTCTTGATTCCTTCAATCCTTCAGGCTATTTGGTGCTTCGTCGAATGTCTGTAAGGTTTCCGGTGCTGCATTTATTGTCTGACCATTGTCGGAATTTTGAACTTGAAGTTGATTCCTGATTTTCTGATCTTTAGCTCGTGTTTGTTGGTTCAACATAGAACTGACCATCAATTGTTGGCGTTGAGTTC